TGTCTGACGCAACAGGGAGTGGATTATTGTAGGTGCTTTGTGTTGTGTAATAAATGGACACACCACCACCACATATCATTGGTCTCATCTCTCCCTGTGTACATTTATGTATGTGTATTTGTGTGTGTGTGTGTGTGTGTTAGATGGAGGTAGTGTGAAGAAGACAGCTGTTGAAATGTTCAACTTTGTGATTTCTGTTTGTCCTTGCAGTGCACATTTAGACACTCAACTGATGATGATGATGATGATGATGATGAGGGACAGTTCCTTCCTTCAAATATTGTGCAAAACACTAAATGTTGCACCGTCTTCACATGAGAAATGGATACTTCAGAATTAAACAATACATATTATGGTAGTAGTTGATAGTTAACCTGACAATACTACCATTATAAACCATCTGATTTAGATTATGTTTAGCTGCTTTGAAACAGCACATGTTGCCACAGAGAAGCTTTACTCTCTGTGGCAACATTACAGTGTCATGTCTGTGTATGACTAGTTACCAATGAGTGAGCGTGAGCTAAGATATTGAATTGGTTCAGGGGTTTAACTATCACTAACCTTACTATAGTTGAAAATGTGTTTATATTATTCAAATAAAATAAAAAATACTGTATTTAATAGACATATAACACGCTACATTAGACATATGGCTTGTTGCTAGCAGATGGCGCAGTAAATAAAGATTTAGCAGGCCCAGGTCTGGAAGCTAGTTAGGTTAAGTCCCGGGCAGCCAAACTCACTGTGGGACAGCACTGCAGGTTAACAGTGTAGTAAGTTAGAGTGACAGTACCGCTAACTCGGGACGAGGTGTGTCTGAGGGCAGGGACGCAGCACACCGCAGATCCTGCAGAGCTAACTTACACAATATTACTCAACGCTAGCTTGGTTGCTGCAATAGCGAGCCACAATGCTTTCCATCACAGCCACTCTCACCAGGAGCTGCCGTGTCGTCCAGTGCGTGAGGCTGCTACACTCTTCTCCTATCGCCAAAATGCCCATTCAGGTAAGAGTTGCGTTTAGGTAGCGTTAGCTGTATGTGCTAACGTCACATAGGTAGTTCAATGTAGTTTTGACCGAGAATGAATTAAAGTACGCTCTACACATCCTTCTCCTTTCTCTATTTTTAGTTAGCTCACCGTGCTAACTGTCCGTCTGAACCCGTCGCCATGACAGCCGTTAGCTACGAACGATAGAATGTTTTGGTTTGTTTGTTTGTTTGTTTGTTTGTTTGTTACAACCGTGACCGTCGGGTCGGTGCTTCACAGCAACTTCCTCAGCACCTGTCAATGATTGACTGCAACACTAGCTGTCCACTGACCGACCCACTGCCTTTTACAACGCCACATAGTTGTTAGGGAAATTATAAGATCTTTTTTAATGAGCTGTTTAGGGGCCATTAAACTTGCGTTGCCCTGTCTTGGTTTCTTTGTGTGGTATAATGTCAGTAAATGAATGTGCAAGCATAACCTTATTCTGTAAGTTAGGTCTCTGAAGGCGTGCGCACTCCGCTGCTGCCCTGCGTGCCAAGTTGTTTTTTATTAAAATATCTTCAAGGGCATAACATTGTTGAAGTGTAACGTATATTTGTGAGCGCTCATTGCAAATACTTTGAAGCACTTAGTGTAATAAAGTGTGTCACTTAGTTCGTCAATGTCAGGCTTAAATTTAGCTCAGGTATTCGGCCATTTTAACGAGACCTGTATCTGTATGTGGTGATCTGTCGCCCTCCAGTGGACGCCTGGCGGAGTGCCCGCCTATTGTAATTCAAAAGGAAATCCTGTGAAGATTAACTCTACATCATTTGCTAAACCACCAGGCTCTTATCTAAGCATTACTGCGAGGCCTAATTTGGGGACTGGTTTTTTTTAATAATACGTGTGGTGATTAAGTTGAGTAAATGTGGAATTAAAAAATGCTCATTCAATGTTTCCAATAGGTTTTGCACATGTTTCCTAGGCATTCATCAAAGTATATGTGTGACTGTATATATAATAAAACAACTATCAACATTCTTCAGCTTTTTACAAAAAAGCTGGCAAGTTTTCTACAAAGCTGAGCTCAACAACAATGCACGTATATAAAACAATCTTCTCTCAAGCTGTTATTCTGCTGATATCCATAATAAAAGTACTGTTATGTACATGCAGAGTTAGCAGCATTTAAGAAGTTCAAAGCATAAAGCAACGTCTTCAGGAAATATTTGCGTCACTAGCCTATTCTGTACAGTGATACTGTGTATGTACACTCTCTGACCTAAGGAATCAGCGGATTCTACCTGCCAGTGACACCAGCAATGCAATTTGCCTGCACGGGCAGACAAATAAATGGTGTTTTTCTTTGTGGTAATTTAGGTTTAATTTTTTGTATATTGTCTTCTCATTCCCCAACAGGTTGGTGAACAACTCCCTGCAGTGGAGGTCCAGGAGGGGGAGCCAGGAAATAAGGTGGCTATGGATCAGCTCTTCAAGGGGAAGAAGGGAGTCCTCTTTGCTGTGCCTGGAGCTTTTACCCCTGGTTGTTCCAAGGTTGAGTCCACACTGTCATCTCTGTTTGCTTTGTTTTGTGCACAACCATCTTTGCATCAGCTGACAGTTGCGTTGCTCTTGTTGCTTCCAGACTCACCTCCCAGGTTTTGTGCAGCAGGCTGAGGACTTGAAGAGTAAAGGTGTACAGGAGGTCGCTTGCATTTCTGTCAATGACGCATTTGTCATGGCTGCCTGGGGAAAGGAGCATGGAACAGATGGCAAGGTATGGACTCGTGAGCAACTTCTGTAACAACCTGCACCAAGCCAAATTGTGAGATAAAAGCTGACCACATTGTCATCATTCAGAGGCTTTTAATATCATTAATCAAACATCTTACATATTAAAGAGCTGTGGACAATTCAGTCAGACATCTTGTATGAATAAATAAATGGGGGTCCTATTTGGCACCCATATGTGGTGGATTTAACTAGTAGGTAATCCCAGCAATCTGCTGAACATTATTATCGTGCACTGGGCTGTTTGCCCAATAGAGGCATTTTAGAAATCGTGACTAACTGCATGCAACCTTTTGGTCCCTTTGACAATAATGAGCTTTCACAGGTTTACTCTACTGTAAACTCACTGACATTGTCTTTGTGTCTTGTTAAGTCAGTTTAGGACTACATCATAGTTTCTAAGTGGCCTTTCTTAAGAATAGAGAAGTTGATGACACCACATACTTAAATACACATGAAATGCAAAACATAATTCAGATAATAAGGATATTGGGCTTTCTGCTACGTTCTCCTGCAGGTTCGAATGCTGGCTGATCCCACTGGAGCTTTTACAAAGGTAAAACAAAATGTTTGGTATATTTAAGTTCTATTAAATGGGATTGTATGTACTCATCTGTCTTTTTCTTTCTGCTTCTTAGGCTGTTGACCTGTTACTTGACAGTGATCAGATTGTGCAGGTACTTGGGAACAAGCGATCCAAGAGGTAATTGTCCTTTTGCCCATTTTTATAAATACAAATTGCAATTGTTGGACTTTAATTTATAGTCTGAGATCTGAATTTACTGCTATTGAGTGTTACATAGGTAGTAATGAATGAGTATGTAATGATAATACTGAGAAAACCACTGAAAGACTTGATTTGATTTCAGGTTTATGACATATTTTCACTCCTTTATCATAGTTTAAATCCTAAATCAGTTTAATTAATTATTGTATTTTTTTATTTTATTTTATTTTTTATTTTCAAGGTGCTTAAATTACGTTCAGGATCATGCTCCAAACTTAATCTTTTATTCAATCAATCTTTAAAGTGGGTGTGTCTGAGTCAGTGTCTGACTTTTACTGGTACATTTTGAAGTTTAGAGCTATAAATCAATGTGTACTTCATCCTGTGTTCCAGATATTCCATGTTGGTGGAAGATGGAGTTGTGAAGAAGATCAATGTGGAGCCTGATGGCACTGGGCTGACCTGCAGCCTGGCGTCCAATATTCTGTCTGATCTGTAAGACTATTTAGAGCTTATTTAACCAAACTGCAATCACTGAGTTACTGTAAAAGTTGCACTAACAAAGCTCCTTACCTACCAACCTGTTCAAGCTTCCTCCTTTTCCTAAAGACGGATGCAAATGTCAAATGGATGCTAGTGTTAAAAACAGAGCTGGAAGGTAATTAATGCGCACAACTATGACATTAATGGCAATCCAAAGTAACATTCATTGTCCTCTCCGTACTGTTTACTTGTGAGTAAATAAAAGTCACCCTGAAAGCAATAATCAATGTTTTCCTGTGTTGCTCATAGTTGAAGTTATTTAGTGTGTGTTAATAAAATATTACAGAGCTGTGATCTTTTATAAGTAATGCAAGAGGACAAAATGCCCAGTGTCATTCTGTTTTCATGTTATGATTTGCAGCACAAATGAGACATTTCAACTCAGAGTAAGCATGCATAAAAATCAAAGGAAGACAACCTAAGTGGTCAACACTGGCCATCTGAAAATGGACCGGCGTGGGGCAGATGAGCATATTGTATGAACGTACTATGTGAACATTGTTTAAATCCATCCTACACGTCCAAGCAAAATCATATTTTCTGAAGTACATTGCTTTAATTATTGATACAAACTATGTATCACACATGTTGACTCATTTAACTTTAGAAGGCTTTGCACCAGGTTTGTTGTCATTTTCAACATAATTTTGAAATGTAATAATTTACATAATTGTATATTATTTGAACGCCACTGATCTACAAGAACATTGAATGGATCTGTGGCTAGGAAAAGTAAGTATTGTCCTAAAAATCTTTTCATCCAAGTTATTTTTAACAACCTAATATAACTTACTTTATTGTAAGTTACTTGTAGTGCAAGAAGCCTGGCATAGTGATGGATCAATGCTAGTCTACTTGCAGTATCAGAAGAAATCACGAGTTGCTGTCATGCTGAAAAGTTTTGAGTGTACAGAGCAAATCAGTGTTGTTTATCCTGTGAGTCAATAATCAGGGAACAGAACAGCCGTCACCCCGTGACGTAGCACGCAAGAGTCGAGCGCAGTGCATTGTGGTCGCCGGTGCTTGACTAGAAACCAAATACTAATCTATGAGAGAAACAGAAACCACACTGCTCTCCTGCTAACTACGGTGATATCCAGCCTCCACGGTAAGGTTACTGCTCAGACATAATACAATGTGGCAGCCATTCGTTAATATAAGCAGCAGAGGAGGATAACAAGCAGTGAAGTTAACCGTCATTAGCCAGCTGCCGTTGAAGCTAACCTACGTTAGCGTTAAGTTAATGTGAAGGCGCCCAAAGTGTGAGCCAATGCTAATCTAGCTTCACAGCGCTTCATCGATTCTAATACGGGGAAGATTACTTAAGCATCACGTTGCTAATGTTTTTTAAGAAAACGAAGACCCCCTGCTAACAAGCAGTGGCGACTCAGGAAAATAGCTAATGAACGGTAGCTCGTTGTGCTAAAGCTGTTAGCATTGAATGGATTGCGCGCGCAATTCAACACTGGAAGTTTACCGTATTGTTGTAGTTTATCAAAGAGTAAACACAGGCATTGGTTAGCTTATTGTTTGGTGTTTCTAGGCGTGGAGCTGTTTAAATAGTATGCAAACGTGAACAGTATTCAAATAATGACCCAGTTGTATTGACTCCTTTTGCATTGCCCGCTCGGTTTGCTTCCTTGTCGGAGCGACGAGCTTTTGATACCAATGAAAGTCTCAAAGTTACCAGTGTTTACGTTAGCTGCTGGTGTTAGCCTAACGCTCACGTTGTTTTCACACATTTGTACAAACTCTTTATTTCTCTCTTTGTGTCACTCTTTAATATTGTGAGTTTATGAGCTGGTTGAACTGTCTATCAAGGATATAATTCATCATATTGTATCGAATATAAGCAGTACAGCCTCTTAATTCAGTTATAGTAAGTTGAGCAATATATTGTTGATATAGGTTGATAACTTTTAGCATCAAAAAGAAACATAACACTGTTTTCCCCCTTAATAGCCACAGTAGCCTGAATTCCACTGTATTTCAATGTCCACTGTGATCTCTGTGTTTCAGCTCAGTAGTTGGTGATCTGTGACCCCCTACAAAGCAGCCATGTCGTCGACATCTCAGAAACATAAAGATTTCGTGGCCGAGCCCATGGGTGAGAAGTCTGTGATGGCTCTTGCTGGCATCGGAGAGGTCCTTGGCAAAAGACTGGAGGAGAAAGGTTTTGACAAGGTGATTTGATTTCTTCACCTTTTTAATGCAATATAAGCATCTTTACTTTGTAGCACACATAAAGTTCACTGTCTACAGAGGGCGCTCGTCCTCGCTGTGTTAGTGGTATTCTCAGGTGATTTTATCAGTGTCTCGAAGTCAGTAAATGATGACTGAACAATCTGAGCATAGTAGCATCAAAAATTCAATCGCTTTAGTTGGGTAATTATTCTGCCTTCAGTGTGCCACAATAACTGTTAGAATAACCAGTTGTTCATCATTCTTCTTAACCCATTAAAGCAATGGCGCCATCTTAGAGCCAACACAGAGGATGATAAAGCTACCTGTATGGATGTCATTTAACGTTAGGCATTTCTGATATTTCTGTGGGTAAAATGTCTTTCATAAGATTCTCATTGTACTGTAAGGTGTGGACCATTTTTCTTCCTCATACCAATCATCTATTCATGCAATTTGGCTACGTGGCAACCTGGCCGTTGTGATACTGGAACTTCTGTTTTAAGTTGACTTTCAGTTTTGTTTTCATCCCTCCTGTCACAGGCGTATGTTGTCCTCGGACAGTTCCTAGTGCTAAAGAAAGACGAGGAGCTCTTCCGGGACTGGCTCAAGGATACTTGTGGGGCAAATGTCAAACAACAAGGTGACTGCTATGGCTGTCTTAAAGAATGGTGTGACTCCTTCCTATAAAGCGTTGAGTCATTGTTTTCTACTTCTGAAGTCCAAACTGTACATTACCTCTTCTGAAATATTGATTCACTTAAGCTACACCATATATATATTTGAACTGACACTGTACACACTATTGAGGTTTATTGAAATCAACTTGTTTTTAAATTATACTTAAAGCTGTTAGTGTATCTCAGAAGTCCCTTGACCCCCAAATCAAATTCAAACATGCCCTTCTCATGGCATCGCAAAGAGTTGGATACTATTAATCGATTTGTCTTTAAATTGTGTTGGTGGGTCATCACAAAATGTGATCTGATGTGAATCTGCCTGTAATGTTTACTCGCTGTCAGTAGCCATTTTACAGCAGACATTTTGACTTGTCATAGTAGTAATGGGTGTAGTAATAACATCAATGGTGGCTTCTTTCCATTAGGGTTTATCAGTAAGTCATGTTACTGAGCCAGCATGCACATAAGCAGGGCTGTCACACTGGGACACTAAAATCGAATGTAGCCTTTATTAACGTTCGTACACCCTTTGTGTGACACGTCAGAATGTCTGCTGTGAGGACAGTTTATAGATGAGCTTCAGACTGAATGTCCAGTTTTTGGGAAAAAGTTGCTCATGTTTATGATACTGCAAAGGCTTTCTGTTCAAGGTTACATTTTATATTCAGGTTCATTCATTGTCTGCCATGTACTGAGATTTTACCTATTTGTTAAGCTAAACATGGCTAGCTTGTTCTATGTTTTTAAACCTTTTACCTTCAGAAAAACACCTAGATTTTGATTCAGCACATGTGTAATGTGATGATTACCCAGTACGATCCAGACAAATATTTCTATTCACCATCAACTCTTGGGCTTCTTTTCCCATTAGCCTGTTTTTTTAAAGCCACTGAAAGGTTAATGTAAGCTGTGTTTTTTAAACGCTGCATTATATCACAGTTGACTATCATGCACTGTCCACAAACAATGTTTCAATGATTTCCTCATAGGGTGGATTGTCTGAAGTGTCTTGTAGAGGATGTGACTGTTTCATGTGACACAAACCTAAACCTCAAAACTGATGTGACACTGGTCTTAGCAAAGATTATTTTTCTTATTCCAAAAACTTTTAACTTTTGATCTTGCAAATGGAAACATGGCCAGGCCCCCACATCTAGTCTGCTCAAAGCTTGTTTGAACCAGAAGATGGAAATGTCTGTAAATAAAGATGCCGATGCAACAAACTCAAACACTGTCAAAAACGTGTCAGTCTATTGCCAATGAGCTGGCTGCAGCCTTAACAATAAAGAATTAACTTACAGGTATGTGTCTATTAGCTCAACCAGAATATACTTCTAATTTTGTTAGCAATAAACAGAACATAATGCACCTACTTAAAGTGCTGGGGGTCGAGGCTAATGAGTTGCAGATGAATGCAACTTGTTGGTGTGCCTAAATGACTACCATGATGTTTTGTTTAAACAGTGTCAGAATCACATGGCAGCCATCTATATTAACCAATAACCACAATACAGTAAATCAATCAGCACCCTGTTTGTTCATTAACAGTTAGAGGCTTAAGTCACTGATATGCTGTACTCATACAATAGAATGTATTTGAATCTTCAGTAGAAGTTGACCTTGTTTAAGGGCGAGTAAAAACCCTTTGGATGCTTTTATACTCGCTCTTAAACAATGACCAGTAAATGGGAAAAGGTAAATCACTGATCCAGTGGCTTTAAGTAGAAATGGTCTACCACCTATAGTGTGTATTTTGCAACACCAACAAGCCTGATTTTAGGTCAGGTCTTCATATCTGAGCTTGATGTTGACTGTCTTTCTAAACATGAGATGCCTTAATGCATGTGAGTTTAAACATTTTATCCAGTCAGATCTTGAACTGTAAGATCTGCAGTAGTGCATGTCCGCGCTGTGTCACGTTATCTTCCACACATCACCAGCTGTTTGAAGATGTAACCGTTGTGTAGCAGCTTTTTGTTAAAGCACTGGCTGATGTGTTTGCATTTGACTGTGAAATCTCTTCAGTTTTTATATTGCTGTTACTATAAAAAAAAATAAAAGGCAAGTATCAGATTTGACATGTGTTCTTTTTACATGGCATTAAAGATTTCATTATTATCAAATACATATCACAAATGAGAGAAACTCTTTGATAACAGATTTTATTTCAATGTCTGATATTCCATGGTTACTTTTTTGCCAAAGCTTCAAATTCGACATTTGCAACATATTGAAAATACGTTGATTTAATTTTTGAAACCATCCAGAGCAGGGGGGTTCCCAAAGGTTTTATCACGCTGAAGTTGCCACAGAGCTCATCCATGTGATGGGATCATGTCTGAGAGCGGGTTTCTTTTGTTGTGCCTGTGATTTAACAGAATGAAACCACCACCTGTACTGTAGATGTAGAAATAACCATAGAGAGAGTGAAACCTTTTAATTAAAACAGGAACTCACAAGTCGTTCACATCAGTGGGCTTCAGAATAAGTAGAGACGGTGGGGCTGTTCTTAAATTTTCTGGAAAACCGTTGAAAGCATCCCTCTGCTCTGGCGAACCTCTCAGACCTGATTGGTTAAAATGACGATGTACACCTGTCTTTGAAAGTACATTAGAACTGCTCTATTTATTTTTTGCCTCAAAGAAATAGAAAATTGTTCATGTGACAGACTCAAATAGCTGATTTTACTTTAATGGCTTACATCATATATTGAATATCCATAACCCCTGGAATGTTTTCTCTTTTTTTGGGCCTGTGTGCTATTCAACTATAAAATCTTGGATTTGACAGTGATCAAATGCTCAGAATTGTTGCTTAAGTTTCACAGTAGCACCTATGCACACACACGCACACTTCCACATCCACACTACAGCAACGTTATAGAAATGAGCAAAATGCTAAAATCTTAATAAAACCTTGAAATAAATGTCTGATTATAATCCACTCATAAACAGATGTTGTCCTTGGTAGATACAAGTAACTGCCAAAACAGAAAACACCTAAGTGAACGAGGAGTACAAAATATATTGGCGATAAACGCGATAAAACACTCATATCTAAATGTTGATGGAGAAAAAACACAGTCTGTATGAGGACCTCCACCTCTAAGTAAAGCATTACTTTAATTAAAGTGTTATTACACCATCTACACGCAGTCACCAGATGGAAAAGCTGTCAGTCATGGGAAATGTCATACTTAATTACCTAACATAGGCTTGTCTCGTTCTCAGTTGCCAGATCTCAAACGTATGGACAATTTCTGTGTGGGGAACTGACAGCCCTGACCTAATCAGAGCAGCATCTGAGACATGTAGCACCACCGTAATCCCAATTTAGCCTCCAAACTAGAGATGCTGCAGAATCCATATGAATCTGATCCTGTGACTGGTGGAGCCTTTTAAGACACTTAATGCTCACAGTTTCCTTTTTTGGCAGTTACCTGTAATATATATATATATATATATATATATATATATATATATATATATATATGAGCATGAAATGTTTGACTTTTCAACCAGATGATAGCTGTTCTTTTAAATTTCTTTCCTTTCGACTTCTAGTCTTGTTTTTGTAGTGATGACTCTGACTCTTTATTGATTGAATGTTTAGCTTTTGTGTCAAATTCCCATGTTATTTTGGTTCTTCTCCTCTAACACTGAGAGAGAAGTTAGCAGTTAAAGAATTTAGTTCAAGACGCTTTGTAGTTGATTATGTACTGTACATCGGCAGCTTTTATGCAAGGTTACTATAGTACATTGATGTCTTATTTAGATTGGAAGTACATGTACACACTGTACATACATGTACACACTGTACAGTTGTACTTTTAATCACAACAATCCCTGATAGGTCTCAAAGCAGAGCGCAGAAGAACTTCTTCTCCCTGAAAGGGTTCTCTGAGGTGGGCACGGGGGTGATCAGGGGGTCGTCACAGGAGTGTGCGTCGCAGTACGCCATCAGGTCGGCCGCTGCCTTTGATACCTGCAGACGAGGAGGATCAGATTTAGGGCGGCTCGTGAACATGATTACATTAGAGCATAATGTTTTCATCCATTAGTCCATTACACATACAATCATTCTTCTGTGGTGCATTTAGAGAGATCTCCACTGGAAAAGGTTTGTGACCACAGTTTCTCTATTAATGGGGATAATCAGAGAGGAGATTTTTATGTATTGGAAACACTCATCTTGACTGTTTCTGTGTTGTGAAGTAGAATAGCATTGGCTGTTACATATTTTGTTAAGACGATGTTGTACGATGTTTTTTTATTTGTCCTGTTTTTTTTCTATTTTCTCAGGTGTGGGATGTAATGTAGGTAAAGTTGTTTATTTAACTGGACAGACACACTCTGTACTCTGTAGTAATGAGTGTTCGTGTATTCTTCCAGCTTTGGTAATGATGAGCAATAATTTCCGCTTTTGGTGCTCTGCTCATCTTTTGACACCGAATGGCTCAAGCAAATATGTTCAAATCCTTTTAGTGTCTGAGGTCCATGCATGTGGTTGTATACAGTGTGTAGTAGTGTGTAATACTATTTCATAATAATGACGATCTCCATTTACAGAACCATCACCAGATCATTTTACACAGTGTACTATCTTTCAGTGATGTAGCTCAAATCTGGTTAATGAAGACTCAACTATATCCATCACTCATAACCTAAAATTGAATTGTATCGAATGTTTCTCTACCAAACAGGACAAAAACTGAGAATTGTGAATGTGTATGGACATATAAAATGCAAATAGGTATACTATTATAAATAAAATAAAATAATGATAAATAAACAGAATAAGCAGATGAAACATTGATGATTTGGATGTTTGCAGTTACAGAGGTATCATGATACAGCAGTAATAGAACATGAGCACAAAAATAGACAATCAAACAATACAGAATCAATATCAGTAGAAAACTCAATCTGAGCTGTAAGATTGGGAATCAGTAGATAAATATTTGCATTTACTACAGTCTTTTAATGTGGATTTCAGTATGAAATGTGTGTATTTACATAAAAATATCTAATATTTAAATTGAATGCTCATTTGGTTTAAAATGATCTAAAGGTTTGCATTAAATAGTTTTTATTTCACTGATAGACTCACATTTGAAAGGCTGGTACTATAACCAAAGCAGAGTTTAGGACTAAAGAGAAGGACTCATCCCCAGCTTAAACTTTTTCTCACCTAGTTTTTCCTCAGTCATGCTTCGTGACAGCATCTGACAATGGTCACTCCAACATGATATTAGCGTTATATATACGTCTGCCCCCTACTTAATTTGTCCACTGGTTTTTCCAAGGTGCCTCTGCAAGGTGTTTTTGAAGCCATTAGGAACATGACAGAAGCCAATACCATTTGGAAGCTCTCCAACAGGAAGCATTGACTTAAAGTGCATTTGAGAAGGTCACCGGTGCTTTTTCTTCATCTGCAAACCAACGTCCTTTCAACTTGTGTACAGATTTGTAGAGGTTTAGTTTGTGCAGCAGTATTAATCATTTAATAGCAATATGGTAGTATTATGATCTGTGTGTATTTGACTTACTGTGTTGTTTTTCCCTATGATTTGCTACCATTTCCCCCTTTGTATCATATGTGTTTGAGCTTAGTACTCTATCATGATTCATATCTGAATCGGAGGCGTCCAGCTTGTCTTACCTTTATCCTGCAGAAACTAGCCTCTATCTTCAGTTGTTCCACCAGCTTCCTGGCTTGGCCGACACTCATGGTGCTGTTCACTGGGGTGTCTCCTTTCATCCTAGCCACAAACGGCAACATTTAAGCTTCATGGATTTGAATTGGATGGGAAAACATTCTGTACATTTCTAAATTTTTCAGTTGAATGTAGTTTTTCTCTAATCCTGCTTCCCGAGCAATGATTGATCCAGAAATATAATACTTAACTTATAATAAATAAGCATATGAATAATGTTGCAGTTTGTTTTGATTGAGATGGTTATCTCATTCACACAGCTGGGTTCGTTGATCGCACAATGAGCTATTTAATACGTCATTCTAGGTGTACAAAGAGTTTTGAGACAAATACATTATATAGCATTATTATGTAATATATAGTATGAGCTATAATCAAGTCAATCACAGTATTTTATTGCTTATTTATAGATTTTGGCTGCAAAGCAAGCATGAGACCAGTCAGTCTCCAGTAATGAAGTATACATATCAGTCAATATTGTGTCATAGAATTGACACAGCTGCTACATTATGTCACCTTACATGACAACACAAGCATATATATTTTATCAAACGCAAACGACACATGTAAACTGGGCCAAATGGTCAGATTTATTCACCATGGCCCAGAGATTCTCCCACTACGAGCATGAATAACCAGAGACGTTTCAAATGTAGAATGAACTAAGCACTGGAGCCATACAGACATTGATGACATGATGAATAAACATGCATATGACTGAAAGAAATGTGTCACAGATGGAAAAGGAATCAAAAATGATGGGTTGTCAACAGGAAAAAAAAAAAAAGGCAGAGCAGCAAAGGAGCGAATCTATTTGAATCATTCTGGACCTTTCCCCATTGTCTTTTCCCTTCTCCCTCCATCCACCCCTTTCTCCTTACCCGTATTATATTCCTCTTCAGGTGCAATCTTCCCCCCTCTCTCTTTTTCTGCCTCTCTGTGTCCCTCTGTAAGCTTATGTTTGGTGGTATCAGTGTAGCCGGACCCCACCCCTCACAGACAGCAGCCTGGATGGTACCCTGCTCTGTACAGTCCAGTGCACTGCAATTCTGCCACAATGAGCGCTAGATTTGTGGTGGATGGATAGGATCTCCCCCTCGGCAGTGAGTGGTACCTGCCAGATGGAGGGAGGGGGGGGGGAGCCGCTGCTGAAGGTTTCCTTATGAGGGTGGACCGTACCATATCTGTGCCTGGGAAACTGGGGCCAACTGGAATCTCTCATGTTTGAATTTCTGACATAGAACGGGATGGTGTGTGTGGTTTTTGGTTTTTAGTGCTAAAAGATTACATGCAGCTTGGGATGGGAACTCCAGAGGCCTGACTCATTACGTGTCTCTGAGCCTTTTGTGATGCCCACCCTCTCCTCTGTTGCTATGGGGACTGCTGCAGTCTGGTGTAGTGGTTTACATCACAGTTTAAGTTGTGAAATTTCTGCTAGTGTTTAAATGTGGTTGTAAATGTGGCTGTAGGTGAAAGGATTGTCTGACAAAATTATTATATTCCATTATTATGGGAGGGGAAAGCAGAGTGGATGTATGTTTGTCAGTAGCCGGGCTCTAATGACGCCCTCAGACCAAAGACCCTGTGGAGGAAAGAGCTCCACTAGCACGACGCCCACCACGGCTCTGTCCCCCTGGTAACGCAGTTTGAGTCAATAGTAATATTTATTTTATATAGTAATAAATATGAATTATGAATAATTTTACAAAAATGCACTGCAGTAAATAGGATGCTTCTACATCACGGAGATTCAGAGGATACTCGAGCAGACAGCTGAAGTCTCGAAAACTGCCCGACGCCATCTTTGCTAGGCTAGAGTTTCCTCGGCTTTAATGGCGCTGTGATTATGTCCATTACTTCTCTTTTCCAGCAGTGACACATCTTGTAGTTCTACTGTCTCTGGTTGCGAGGAGGTAGTTTCGCGTTCTTGCTAGTGTGTCCGTCGTGCTTGCCGTTGTAAATGCCTCACTAGCTCACTGGGGCAAGACCTACATACAGTACTAGACCTAATGGAGGAGAATGTTTGCATAAAGCCAGCCGAGGCTTTGTGATTTATGGTGAATTATTTTAAGAAACTTTTTACATTTTTATACAATTAAAGTGAGATTTCTTGTTCTCTTTTTTTCTCTTTGTGAATTTGAATCATCTTAGAGTCAAATAATAATATAGAAATGTACTAAAATTATCACAAGGTGTTTGGTAAGTCCAATTTAAGCTATACATGTGTGTGTGTTTATATATCTGATCTCAGCACAGCTTACTGGTTCTTACTGCCTCGGGATAAATAAAGTATCTGTCTATCTATCTTGCTATACCGTACAATATTGTTTATTAAAGTTTGATTGTATCTCATGTGAATTTCCCTAAAAGATGTATGCAAAAAAACCAAACATGTAATTTATTTGTGCACGTTAGAAAGAAATGTCTTCTGGGAAATTGCAATGTATTCATGCCAGTGTATGATGGTGTAAACATCAGAGAGCAACGAGCTACACACACACTCTGTCCATACTCTTTATTTTTCTCAGCATTTTGTTTTTCATTGTGTTGAAATGATTTCAGTTTTTTAAAAAAGCCTGTCAGGGATTGCAGATTGACTTCATGAGGACAGAGTGAGCAGCAGTGTATCTGGCTTTGTAAACTGTGGCTGCAGTTTAAGGACTCCATCTGCTGGATGATGCTGGCACGTTTGACTGCATCACTGATCTGCAAAGACCACAGTAACATCGAGTCTGCTGCTGATCAACCAGCCACGCCCAGCTTCATTTGAGCTAAATAATAAAATCAGATGATCCAAATACTAATAGTAATTAGGTTTATAGAAACAGTGATAAATAACAGTAGAATTTACATAAGATTTCAGGAAGGTAATCAAATATACAGCAAAACTCATGAGAATCAAGTGGACCTCACCCTTTTTCTGGAGAAAAGCTCAGTTGGTCGTTACAGAGGAAATGTCTCATTACTTTTAAATCTGGTGAAATGTCAATATTTGCAGTGTGGCAGCTTTTATCTTAATGAATATATCTTGTTGGTTAGACGAGATCAGCCGATTAACAGGTCGCAAAAAAGGACACTTTAAAAGGTAAAAAGTCACTTACCTTAGGCTGAAGTATCTCCAGCTGTAAAATAATATAGATATCCCACTTTAAATGCAATTTAAAATGTCAGGTCCTGTTTATAAAATAAGTAAGCCAGTATACACCAATGTCTGAAATAATGCAAGTATAATGAATAACATTATTAATGGCCGTGTTTAGTTGTGTGACCAAGAACAATGTTATTCATCGCTTCTGTGCTTGTCATCCTTCTATGATATGTCAAATGTCTGCTGATACAGGAAGTGAATGAGGGGCAGAATTAGCAAAAACACACAGGAAACAGAAATACCATGGCTAAAAACAACTTTCGGTTTGACACAGCTTTTTCATATAATGACGTCTCTGCTTCAGCATGTGTTGTTCATTGAGTAGATCTGGAGACTGCCAGGCCAGCTGACCTGCAGTCCACAGTGGGACATTGTAGCACTACGACTTTATTGTTAAGATGAGCAAACATATTTTTGATCCAATGCCTTAATGTCTGTGCAATCACATAGTATTAGGTGATCATGTTTTGTTTATATGTACTAAAAAAACTTTATTTTCACATGGCTGAGAACAGTCAAATAAGATCAGAAAACTTATCAATTTATTGAGTAAAACTTTATCTTAACTCCTTATTTGTTTTTTATTAATGTAACTCTTCACTCACTCAACTCCAGTATGTAAACATTTGATGAATGCTTAATAACACAATGCAACATTATAATCATATATAATCATTAAAAGCTTTCAACCACATCTCGTGTTCCTCCTCATGTTGAAAGTTTTGGAAAAATCAAGTAACTGGATGTTAAAAAATGAACTCTTTAAATTGGTTATTGATACATGAATTAAATGAAATCATTACAAAGGACTGTTATAGTTGAGTAGTACATACATTTATATTTTTATTTACTTTTACTTCTTAAGTTATAGTTATATGGTTATAAACCATGTGTCAGTGGTATTATGGTATAAATACTGTAGCTATATTGAAAGCAGATCACTAAATGCATTCTGTGTACGTATAATACACAATATACTGTATACCCCTGTATCTCAGTTTCTAAATGAGATGACAGGAAAAAAAAAAATAATGATTTCTCCCAGAAAAGTAAAAACTTAGAGTGGCTGTTATTTTGAAAAGCAGCTATGAACTGGTTCCACTGTTTAAACACACAACTTAATTCAGCAGAGATTTGGCAACATCACTTGTAATTTGAGGACCACTTTAAATCCTTGTGAACCAATTTTTTTTCTTGGCACAAACTCTGAAAAACAGTGACAGCAGGTACAAACCAGTACATGACTGCAAGGGCCGTGTCTAAAACGCTCACCAGATGGTCCTCGAGAGCTCCTGTTTCATCTCTGCAGGTTGCACTCTGTTGTAATTAATGTGGGTGCGTGCCATCCATGATAGTAACGTCACAGTTAAAGTGTGTATGAGAAAGCAACACACAAGTGAGATATGGAAACTTATTCCTCATATAGATACAAGAAAAGTAAACTTTAAATGGCTTTCCAAAATAAGAGTGCAGAATGTTTAATACATGAATCCAGCAATGTTTTGAGCAAAGAACATAGTTTGAATTTCAATTATTAACTGGCTTGTATGTTTAATTATCTATTATGCTATAAGTATGACAATTAATTAGCTCAGAATACATTTCTTTTCGCTTAATTAATAATCCTTAATTAAGCTGAACTTAATTACTGTCGTGGCACACTGGAGCCTTCAAGTCTGGAGACCTCAAAGCTGTGAAACAGCCGGAGTTTTCTCACTTGATTTCTCACTCGATTCTCGACTATAAGCGTCATACATTTGGATAAATTTGAGTACATTTAGTAAAAAAAGACAGCCAGAATGAGACCTTAAAGCTGTCTTCTACCTGTGTCAGATTATCATCGCCCTCTCAAACAAACTGCTGTTTCGTATAAAGCTTGTGTGACCCGGTCAATGCGTTGTTGACATTTTGATTTGAATCCATGCGTGCAGGTCTCTGCCTCGAGGTTGATGTCAATACATTTTGAAACAATGTTAGTAAATGATTTTCATTTCAACCCATTTGGGCCATTGATTCTATGATTGAACAGACACTGAAATGCTGGAAGTGTTTCAAGCTCCACGGTAACTTTGGTGTTGATATTGAAGAACAAAACTCGTGCTGTATTATCTGTTTGACTCTGAGCGGTGATGTCCGATGACTAGAAGGGCTGCATTGAAATCTTCTACACAGTCAAACATGGCCTACGCAGCTAGAACCACAGTGAAGCATCCACTGTAATAACCACTGGGTGATATGCTGCTGGCAATCATGCAGCAGTGGCTGATGAGCTATTGTGTAAAATGCCTGAAATTTGATGATGATTTGATTGTCCATTGGACTGCTGATGACAGTTTGTATTTTTTTTTTCATGAATTAAATCTTCTAGTGAATAAATAACTTAAACAAGAGCACCATATGCTGTACAACAGATATATAAGCTGTTATCAGCTGTCCATTATCTAGTCCATATATATATATATATATATATATATATATATATATATATATACATACAAACGCATCTTCACCATTTTGGTTTAGTGTGTTAGCATGCTAACATTTGCTTAATAACACCAAACACAGCTGAGTCTGATGGGAATGTCATTAGTTTAGCAAGTATTTGGCTATAAAACAGCATTGGTATGATTTTAGAATATAGTATTGGACAAATACAAATTCTGACCTGATGATGGTGCTAGATGGAAAGTGTAGCGACCATCATAGTGGTTTTAATTCATTCTGAGGGGATCATGAATGTCTGTACCATATTTCAATCATTCCAATAGTTTTTACTCAAAACCACAAATGTAAACTTCATGAAGGTGTTATAAGTGAAAATATATTTTAACAGTAAAATCTGAGGTTGGCACTCAAATCTTCAGAATAGAGATTGAAGAGTCATTGTGAGATACAATTCTGGTCCTCACAGTTGAATACAGTCAGTACAGTACTCATGCTTTTTATTTGCGGTAGTTATTGCCAGGCAGACAGTCAGTTTGTTTTAACCTCTCTCGCTGATCGATCCGCCCCCGGGTGCTTGATCACACAGCCGTGTATCCCAAACCAGCTCTTATGTAATGATGAGCAAAGCAGATCTGGGTGGGGTCATCATCTGAATCATCAATTGCAATTGGCCGTTTGTATCGACGGTAATATAACTGCTCAATACTTTCCAAATAGACACCCCTGACTTCATTCAGAGAGTGCTGGTGATCAGCAGAGTGAGCCTCGGCCTATCACACTGCATGGTTTTCACTGGATGTTTGTGTTCATTGAAGTTTTCAGCGCACTCACAGAGAAGACAAAATTATTATTTCTCAGGTTTTTTTTTTATTAAAAGAGCCAGTTCCAGTGTGTTTACTAGAAATTAACATGGAGAACAACTTCACAATCCAGCCATCAGGTTTTTGTACTGCACAATTTAGGATGCTATTAAGGTAACATTATAATATTCAGCTATAACCAACAAAAGAAAAGACAAGACGGCAATTAAATCCCTTGATGGGAAATCTTCAGTCGTGTCACCAACACAGGAACCAGATTAATCAGCTGCTAATTAAACAATCGAGAAATGGAAGAGAAAGTACATGTGTGAGCTGAGTTTGTTGCTCACACAGCGCAGCAGCTGTCCAGAGAAAACCTCCAATAAAGACCTTTTTTTTTATGCAGCTGGTGTGCCTATGTATTGCACAACTGTTCTGCCTGGATGGGAGTTTGACTTCATGCCAAGTATAGCCACATCTAAACCAATGATCAATTCCCACACACATCCCTTTTCTTGTCATCTGCATCCTTGTGACTCTATGGGGTAGATCCTGCTGCTGTCAAAACCTTTTGTACTGGTTACTTTCTAAACCTCTAAACTTCATTCCTCTCGGGGAAGCCATGGGTGCATGGTAGGCCTGTGTATATTTGAGATAATAATCTTCACACTGGCTGACTTGCTATCTACAGGTTCTCTGAAGCATATTTCAGTAGAATTCCACTTGACTTTTTTGCATATTATTTTGTGCTACAAGATGATTTATAGATGCATGTTTTTTTTTTTACTTTTAAGTCTGAGAGATTCTCAAAGTTCATAAGCCTCAAAGCTTATGTACGCTAAGAATATGTTTTATATAAGGAGGCAAATTAAATCAGGTCCAAACATATTCTAATTACAGTTTCTCATAAACTTTAATTTCAGGCATATTAGCTCAGAAGCAAACAAATAAAATACAAAAGGCTAATCCATCTTTCTCTAGCCTATGGATGTGTGTTTAAAACTCTGTATTACTGACATCGTTCAGTATTAATTTTGTCTACCAATTCTAATTTAAAAGTACTTGACATCACTACATATCCTGTAGATGCTATGAACTTAAACTGAATATTTTTGCCAGTTATTTTTTCTCATAGAGCTAAAACCAACAGAAATCTTGCAACTGAAACCCGTGCAGGTTCTGAATATGTGTTATAATGTGCAGATTTGTATCACAATAATCTTAATGTGCACAGTAAAATTTACTTGACACATTTCTCTGTAATGTTCATTTCTGAATGCTAATGTCAGCATGCTAACATGCTCACAATAATTATGCTAGCATGTTGATGTTTAGCAGGCTATATGTTTAACATCTTACTTTAGCGTATTAGCAGGCTAACATTTTCAAATTAGCACTAAACACAAAGTGCAGCTGAGGCTCGTAGGAATGTTATTTTACAGTTATAAACCAAAGTATTGGATAAACTGAGTTCTAGACATGTAGATGGTGCTAGAGAGGATTCAAGCTTTTACAAATCATCATCAGAGAACCATGAATGGTGTAAAAGGTTTCATGGCAATCCATCCAACAGCTGTTGAGGTATTTCAGTCAGGAGCAGCGTGGTGGACCAAGCTACCGGCCAACACTGCCATCCCTAGAGCCATGTGACTAATGTGGCTAAAAAATAGTTTGAATATTTTGAAATCTGTGTTCAATTCTGTTGCGGATGTGTTTGATTTCACTTAAATTGTGAATTAAAAGTTAAAGCAAATCTAGCCGCACATGTCCACACTGCAGCATACACACATGCACTTTGAGTATACATAGCAAAATGTGATACAAATATGAACCTTGTCAAAGTTTCAGTTACAGGATTAATGTTTTAACTCGACAGTTTTTAAGTGATTGTAATACAGAGTCTAGATTGGTCTCAAATATTCCTGTTTTCTTCGCATACTATAACTAAATACAATCATAACAATATGACCCAACCTAGACAAAATTTCTGACAATTAACTCTGTTGCAGAAAAAGCAACATCACAGTTTTATTGAACCACAGTGAACAATGAGATGGGCTTTTAAAAATATTTTACTGCTACATTTTACAGTCTCTTTTCTTTCTATCATGCTTTAAAGGAAGACCAACAGGAACAGATCCTACGGTTGTGCACACAGTCACTCTGAGATTAATACACTGCACCGAGGCAGCACAATGAAGCCTGGATTTAATTGGAACGATGTAAGCAGGGCCTCCATATTTAAGCCCACTTTGTACTGGTCACCTTTAGCGATATTCACCACTTTGCATCAGCTAAATGTGACGTACAAAAGAAAAGTCTTTGTGATATAGCAGCATTGTATTAGTCACAGTGCATGAAGGTAAAAACATTGTCTAAATACAAGGACCAGTTACTACAATATGAAAATATTACATTTGCTTAAGAGAAACAATCCATTATGAAAAGGAAGTGGGCGACAGAGGAGCATCACAGGTTAGATAACATGAGTTTTTGGGTCTCTGGAGGAAGCAGGACCGCAGGGTGAAACAACAAAGCGTTACTATGATAGTCATACCTGAAGAGTTCTTACCCCCGTTAGGAAGGAAGGAGGTGATCTGCTTTTTTCTTGAATCGTCTCATCATCGTCACTGCTATGAATCAATGTCTTTAAATTCAGTATTTGGTACAGGAAGTAACACATTGGTTTAAAATGAGGATTCAGTTCCCACAAATAAGCAATGCACGGATATACAATGTCCTTAAAAAGGTATCATACATACAGTAACAACTTTCCTCTTCTCAACAGAAGATTTCTACACACACTGACACTCACAGAGACACTGGCCCTTCAGTTTATACGAATTAAAGAGAAAATGTTCAGTTTCCTTCGACGTGTCTCTCGAGTACAAACGACTGAGGTCAGCATTGACTCAACTGCACAGCAAGTCAATACAGCGTGGAATTAAAGACATTTCTTCGACAGCCATTTTGCATATAAAGTCTGTATAAAAATCAAGGAGCAATAGCAAGAGGCCCTCTTCAAAGGTTGATCGATACTACGCCTACTGTGAGCTGAGCTGGAGAGACCGGAGGAGTGAACAGCATGTTTGGTTGAAGTCTCTCCAGCTGAAATAAAGGCGAGAGGTAAAAACAGGAATACGGTATGTTGACCCACGTTTACTGAGGTCTGATAACAGTGAAACTGTAATACTGCAACGCAAAGCACAGCTGAATCTCCTTATTGTCACTGCAGAGTTGGAAGATGTCGTTCTGCCAAAACGGCCTTTCATAAAAAACAAAGAGTCATGTAAAAAAACCTGTAAATACACAGTTACAGTATATGTGCATACCCAACATGATTGACAGAAGATTGACTGTAGAAAAATATATAGCCTATATCAAAGTCACTTAACCAGAAAATAAATCCAACAAACAGATTTCAGGATCATTTTACAAATTCATATTAATAATGACAACACTGGAGGACCAAATTACACAAGGCTAAACTGAAGGCATTTTGGTTGTAGGAACTTGTAACAGGGTGTTTTCTTAATCACAAGTTCAAATCTGGGAAGGGGGGCCACTGGAAATATGATAAGAATTAAAAAGAAATACAAACTAAGCTTCTACGTTTATATTCAGTCTCATATACTTCTGTGATTTGTTTGAGTTTTTATGGACACACAAGCTACTACTGTACTTTCCCTTTTTAATCTGGGTTGTCAAATGATCTTTAATCAATAAGAGAAGCATATCCCTGCACCATTAGAGTGCCCAGGCGTTCCTGTCAGACGAAAAGAACAGAACACAAATAAATAAAATAATAAGAGCACACATACCCCTTATCCCATGTTCCTACAGTGTCTCTCTTAAAATTTTATATTTGACAGTTTAACAATTAATGCTAGCAAAAAAATATATTTACATTTTTTTGCAAATGCTCAAGTCACAAATTACTGAATATATATTAACAGCATATTATCAAAAATTTGAACAGTATCAGTTTAAAAAATGTGCAAAATAATTCCCATTGTTAGCTAACAGACTTCTTCTGTTAAAGTGAATTTGATATTATATGGAGTTTTAACAGAAAGCTATGATACACTGCAGTTTGAACCACATTGTTTTACACTGTTTATAGCCCCAACGTTAAGAGATTGCTGCACAACGCAGAGGGCCATCTGCACTAACTTTATACATTATAACTCATTTATGAGCCACTAGCTGTTTTGTTAAAGTTTCTAGCCATTTTCATACCTTCGTAAGTTCAGTAATGTTTTTTGCTAACCCTTTACCATAATAGCCATGGTGCAGATTGAACCTACAACTGTGATTTTATGTGTACTGAACAGAACTCAGGTCTTAGCCTTAACAATACAGAGGAAGAGTTCACAGTGAATCAAGTGACCTTCTCTTATCAAACCAAACTCTTCATAATAAAAATAATGCATAGTCATGTGGGACACAGTTAAGAAGTTCAGAAAGGACAATAAGGCAAAAGAACAGTTAGGGAGTAACAACTAATCAGCTCACCTTCACACTCCTTCACAAAGGTATTAAAGTAACTAAATATCAAGTAGATTTGGCTTTAAGTGTGTTCATCACTTAGGTAAGATAGTGTAAGTGTTTTTCAAATTGGTACTTGGTTGTCAGTCCCTTTTTTGCTACTGTGGGAAATAACACTTGTAACCTAAATTTGAAATCAAGATTTACAAAAAAAAAGCATATAGTTTCACACTTTTTTCACCTTCACACGGAATAAGTTTGGCTCTATGTTTCCAAGCAGACAGGTAAGGCATGTTACCTCTTTACTGTTTCTGTGTCATCGCCAACAAATCAAACTTCCATGTGCTCTTTAAAGTTTAAGAAATATCTGTCTGCGCACCGTAACAGGACGGTTTCATGCTAAACACTGATTAAGAAAAAAAATTTACATCATAAAAAAATAATAAAAATAATGCATTTCTCTTATGAATTTAAAACAAAATAAATAGTGCACAGTTGGAGAAGGTCTGCTGTTTTAAAGCACATTATCACAGCAGGACAATGCCTGCAAATCCACAACTCCAGTCAAATGTACTGTAAATCATAGTGTGCATGAAAATAAAAAAAATCTCTGAAAGTACTGTTGAGTTGTGGTTTCAGTTCTGCTGTAAATGTGTTCATAATGAGCTTATTTCAGTGTACTAACCTGCATATTGAAATTTATTTTTTATTTATTGACACACATTAACACTGTGTTAATGACAGCTGTACTTGTATTATATTGTTATTCCAGAACTGTGAATGCCTCATCAGAAGACAGCATTATTTCAGACTTGCAATACTTTTCTAATATACAGGCTGCACCACTGAAATAAAACCATACTTACACATTTCCATGAGCTGTTTGCCCCTTTAGTGATAAGTTCAGGATAATGCTACTCAGTGCTGCCTGCTAGGCCCATGCCGCTCTATTGCACAGTTTCAAAATAGGTTTAAACCCATAGACATGATAATATTAACCAAAAACAGTGACTGTGGTCCGTGTGACAAATTCTCATCCTTGTGACAATTCAGTTGGTGATAACGAAAAACAAATGCGTGGGAAGTAAAGTGCATTGTAAAAATCTGTGTGTTGCTACATGTGGTGGAAACAGTGGTTTTGTAAATGAAGTAAGACATTACCAGAGAACTTTTTCCATGTTTGCATTCCCAGTCTGCATGCATTTATGATTAATGGCAACAGAGTCAGTGTAATTCTGTGTGTGGCTGTGAGTGTAAACGTCTGGGAAAAAAAGGGAAGAGGCATCAGAAAAAAAAAAAGAAACAAGATATCTGAGAGTGATGTTAGATCTATACAAAATATTGGCACATTATCTTATAAACAGCATACTGGATGATGATCATGTTGTCTAAGGGTTACTACTTAAACAAATGAAGCATCCAGTCTTTTGTCTCACAGTATTAAAAGTGCACTAATTGCCCAACACACCAACATTTTCCAGCTGTAATATTCCTCATCATGTCTCTCTTCTAAAATGTGCTGCACTCTTTCTTTGACACTCATTAATGCCACTTTAATCTCTCTGGTTTCTCTCTTCTTCACATGCGGTAAGCTGACTTTTTCACACCTGCGTCTCCACACCATTAAGTTTAGGCATCAGGATACGAGGAGTCACCCCAGAGTTGAGGTCCCTCTCGAACTCCAAAAGCTGACCCATGAAGTTTAGATTCGGGGACACCACTGGACGACGGCTCCGCACGTATTTGTAGGCATCTGTCATTGTCATGAGGGTGTGCTTCATAAGGTAGGCGATAACGATGGTTGCGGAACGGGACACACCTGCCTGGCAGTGTACCAACACTCCCTGTCCACTCTGATATGCCTCCTCTGTGGATGAGAAAAAACAGCTTAATGCTCCATGCTTGTGAGCTGTGAGTATCTGTGACTATAGAAAGTATCATCACTGTCATTAGAACTTACAACATATAGCTAGGCCTACGACATCATTACATCCTAAATAAACAATTAAGCCCATTTACAACAAAAATGTAGGATGTTAATATGCATGTTCTTATTTTTATTCAAGGCTCCATAAAACATCACTGGCTGTATATTAAACTACAAATTACATTATATACATTCACCAATAATCCTTCTCAACATTTAATTCCACATACCTCCTTTCTTGATAAATATGCTTTGTATGCCACGGCTTTGAAATGTACAGTTGAACACAGACCACTGAATTCAGTATGTTGACTTCCTATTGTTATTGTTATTCCTCCTTCATTCCTCATTAGACAAAACTCTTGAGAAAGAAATTACATTATAAATTGCTCAACAGCAAAAGTAATAATAGTAATAATAAAGTAAGTTACATTACTCTAGTTACTCAGCCCAGCTCTGTCAAAGTTACCTTTAATCAACTTCAACTTCAGCCTCCATACGATTATATTCTGTACTTAAAGGTCCAGAGTGTAACATTTAGGAGGCTCTACTGGCAGAAAGGGAATATAATATCTTAACTAGGTTTGTTAAAAATAACAATTGAAGTAAGAATCGTTCTGTTGTTGTAACCAACGACTGAGCCTTTTATATCTAGAGACGCCGCGGGTCGCGTAACATAGAGCCCGCCATGTGTTCTATGGTAGCCCAGAAGGGACAAACCATTTTTGTGCATACAGTTTATACTGACCATCAACAGTTAGCTTAGCCAGGACTGCACACAGCACTCGAGTCCCAACTCTGAATAAAACCTAGGTCGTTCCTGAATATGGGCTTACCACCCAAATGTAGGCAAACTACTGGTGGCAGGCTAGCAGCTCAAAAGACACAACAACTTTTCAGTTATCGTGGGACGCATTCCTCCTCCCCCCTGCACCACGCTAACATGTCCTGGACTACTCTCTCCACTCAACATTGATATCAACCCCTCATCTAACTCCTGGTAAGACAGCAAATAAGCCGACCCCCAAAATGATGGAGCTTTATTGGTATTAATTAGTAACAGATTTTCAAAGCAGTCTCCTTAATGTTATCTGTTACAAAGCAATGCATTACTGTCCAACACTGCTAATTATTACTTCCTTTCGAAGTGCTGATCTACAATATACCATATACACGTTCACAAATACAACAACATATCAGAGGTGGGAATCTCACCAATGAACTCAAAAACCTCCTCAAAGTATTGTCGAAGGTTTTGCTTGCTGTTATCAGTGGCTGGCAGCCTTTTGTAGCGCAGTCCAGAGTTGACGTGGTAGAGGGGCAGGTGTGTGGTCACGTTGACCACGTAGCCGATGTTGAGGCGCAGCAGCAGGTCCAGGTCTTGGGCGTCTCTCTCGTTCCCCAGAAACAGGAAGGGCAGGATGGGGCTGACCACGGCATTCTCCGCATCAGGAGTCATTGCACTTTCATCGGACAGAGAAGCTGGCAATGAGGAGGAGAGCGGCAGAGAAAGGTGCACTGGAGGAAGACAAGACAGAGAGAAAGTATGTAGAGACATCGTTTGTGGTGTGTGAAGACAGACATTTGCTGCCACAGAGCAAGAAATGACAAGAATACTTCTTTAAAACTAACAAAACTTGAATTAACTGAATCACCAAGGAAATCACTGATTCAAAAGTGGGCCATTATAGCCTGAAAGCTAATTAGCTAATTAATAAATTAGTTCTAGCCATTAGCATTTTTGATTTTTTTATAAGTTAAATGAAACAACTTGCTGAGTTCCAAAGAAGCTAGATGTTCCCAAATGTGGGTGCATCTGTTAAAACCTCAACAAAATTATTTAACACGTCAAGGGGAACAGACTGAGAATCACGACAGCGTATGCCCAACACAGACAGGCTGAGCTCACAGAAAGGAACACTTTGAAACTAACCAACAGGGATCTGTTGATGGACAAACTGCTAAATTACATTCAACGCAATATGACCCAGCTTTATGTCAGTGATTGTAGTGGAAAATTAGTTAGCTATTATACATATTTTACCACTTGCACGGGTGAATTGTAAGCTGTTCTTACTTCTGCTGTTCTCCTCATCTTGCTCTCTGTTAAGGGAATTTAGAGCCAGGTGAAGTGACTGAGCCGACGGCAGTGAATGTCCTCCCTCCCTTTCTCTCTGCCAGGGTCTGGGTTTGATGAGTGTGCTCGGGGCAGACGGTGGAGGCGAAAAGGACACAGGTGACGGTGGGGAGGCAGAGCGGGGAGAGGGGGAACATGGATATGCTGCATCTCCGTCTTGATCAGGACCATCGCCCATTCCCATATCTTCGGCTTTATTCAAGAGCCTCTTCAGCGAGTTCCGGCCTTCATCATACCCAGAGCCAGACCTGCAGCCCATAAAATCAAGGGCAGCCATTTTTCCTTGCTGAAGCCGCCGTCGGCCAGCATGATCTGTTAGCTGAGACTGTGTGTATTCCTGGAGGTTTTGACAGTCCAAAAGGACAAGGCCTGTTCCGTTACTGCCATTTTGGGCCTGGCTTGCACAGGTCTTCCCGACTCCTACTCCCATCCCGGCACAGTGATTCTTTTGGGCTTTAGAATGGGTCATCTTCTTGGCCAGTTCTTCAGGCCAGATCGTGCGCACACTGTAGTCATCATCATCGGCTTGGAACATACCCATCGGGTGAGCTGCTCCTATGCCTCTTCCAGGGGGTTTGCCTCGGCGAGGGTTGAATGTCACCACTATGGGGTCGCTACTGCAGTAGCTGCAGGTGGAGCTGCCTGTCTGAGAGGCTTTGGGGTTGCAGCCTGTGACGCAGCTCTGTATTGCCCGGAGAGGGGCCGAGGACGACAGCGGGGCACAGGGCAGGCATCCTCCTACAAGTTTTTTACGAAGGATAGCAGGACTCTCGAAGTTTCTGGCCTCACCAGAGCAGGAAGCACAGCGGAGAGGTTTGAACAGGGTGGCTCGGCAGTCAGACACAGTGCTATTAGAAGAGGAGGTGTTGGAGGTGGAGGTGGTGGACAAACACCCACCCAGATTTCTCAGGCCCATTTCTTTGCCTCCTCTCTTCACTGCTCCGACATTGTGAACACAGGAAAACGAGGTGGAAGAGCTTCCTCCACCTCCTTGGAAGCCAGCAGAGTGTCCCTTACACCCTCTGCATCTTACCAACCTCCAGCAGCCGCAACTGAATGGGTGGGTGCAGTCAATAGTACAGGTATGGTCAGGGCTGGGGAACCCTCCGGCGTGGGAGGAGCAGGGGGAGAGGGGCAGACCATGAAGAATGTGAGGGCGGTGATCCCTATTGCGGGACGGGTGTGGCTGGCTGAGTTGCTGAAAGGAAATGGGGACATGGGTGGGTTGGGAGGGAGGGGGTGAGGGATAGTTGGAGTTTAGGATGGCAGCATGAGGCACAGGGACGGAGTTGTGGTGGTAGGGCAGACTGTTACTATTATGGCTCTGATGGACAGTTCCCAGTTTGGAATTGTTTTTATAAGTTAGAGAAGGAAATTCATGGTCACTTCTGTTAAGAAAACTAGTGTTTTCCTTTTCACTCCTGAACTTATGCTGCTGCGTCTGAGCGGGGACGAATTGTAAGACGCCTCCGGGGGAAGATGACAGCTGACTATGGCGACTTCGCTGTGACTTGTGTTCGCCTCCACCTGGCCTCCCTGCAGTTCCAGTTTTTCTCTCACATTGTCCTTGATCCGACTGTGAAGAAGCACATTTCCCTTTGCCACCTTTTACACTTCCGCTGCGCCCTAACGAGTTGCTGAATCCTCCTGCCCGTCCTCCTTTGTCCACTGTCACCCTGATATCAATAGTATGTGTGTGGGAGGGAAGTCGTGGGCCAAGAGTTACAGTGCCATTGCTATGGCAGTGGCTAGGGATGTGTCCGACACCCGCTGGGATGACAGGCTGGTCGCACTTGAATTTCTGCACACGGGAGGATCTGCGCTTGCATTCCAGAGTCAGAGATTTACAGGAGGGTGAGTAGAAATGGGACTGAGAAGGGTGGAGATGAGGAGGGTGGGCGATTTGTCCATTAGAGGAGGCTGATATTTGAGAGGAATGCTGCGGGATGGTTTGTGGGGAAGTCTCACACAAGGCTACGTTTTTAGGGCGCTGAATGACCACTATGCGCTCATCAAGAGGGAGGGGAGGCATCTGGGTTTATGCAAAGCTGTTCAGTAAAGAGGGAGAGAGAAACAGAAAGAGCATAGTCAGAAAATTACTGTAATTTCACAAACACTAGAAATGTGGGGCACACGTTACATTTCATCAGTTTAGCTGGCACATGCTGACACAAAATTATAAACATTGCCTTGCAGCTATAACATATTTATATAAAACAGTTTGCACATAATTGTGAGCATAGTTGTTTTTTTCTATTGATACAGTATGTTATTATTATAAAAATATTATGTAATTACATTTAAAATCAGTTACTTGTGAAATGTAAAGTAAAACCCCAAATCCAGCACAAGAATGACAACACGTTGACAACAACAACAGATTTTTATGTTTTGCATATTTTTTTAAGTCATCTCTGAGGTGTCTTTTGCATACCAAAACATAAACAAAGTACAAAAACAACAACCAACAATGTTACATCTCAATTCTGACATGTCACACACATTTCCTTTCACATTTGCTGCAAATGAAAGGAGAAATAATACAAAGAGAATACCCACTGAGGTGCACCGCAGTCTGTGACCTGCTTATACCAGGGTCACTGTCTGGACATTTAATACTCATTTATATTTATAGGAATTTAACATTTAAACTGGTAAACAAGATAATATTGTTACCATTATGGTAAAATTCAAAATCAGAAGGTATGAGACTGTGTACCTGTATGCTGTTAGCAGCAAATTATCCCAGCTAATCCTGATGGCAGTGAGGCTTCTTAAAGGCTCAGTGATAAAAGCTTCATCAAATGAGCTGCAACAGCCTTCATCCCTCTGATGAGTCCTCATTATTAACAAATCAAGTCATGGCTGATGGTAAAAAAAAAAAAAGCTAACTATACTATAAAACATAGCTGGACAGTGCATTTTTTTTTACTGCTCTTGATGTAGAAGCACACTATATAGTGATGCTAAGGCTTGAAAAAAATAATAAACTGGCAATGGATGCTCATCTTTTTGTAACTACAAGCCCATGTATGTAAATGCTTTATTCTTTTTTATGCACTACTTAAAACTGACAAAAACTTTGCACTGATTTGTTGCAGAAAAACAACACAGTGACTCTCAAAATTAGATAATGGCTCAGTGGGATTCTTCACTTTAAAGACTGTTTTATGCTAGACAGCCATGTGATTATCCAAAATGAAGCACTTCCTGCTCCTAGCCATCTTGCCCGTTCATTCTGCCTCTGGAATAAACTAAATTAACCAAATCCTTTGGGACAATTAGAAATGAGCATTTGTCCAGGCCATGGCATAAACAGAAGGTCACCACATACACAACAAATACAATTCAGCTGGAGAGAAAGCTTTCTCACCATGACACAGCAAAAAGAGATTAACTGACTGTAGCTCATAAATATGCACTTTGTAATAAAATATATATATATAGAAGATTTTGTTCATATCATTAAATTGCCTTTATGATGAATGTTATTAATAACAGGTTGATACCGTTACTACGGGACTTTGGACTTAAAAGTTTTACATTCGTTTGGTACATTCATTATAAGGCTTCATCAAACTTTAAGATGAAAAATTGATTGTTGTTGAAGTTAAAATCCGCCCTCTGATACACACACTGTTAAATACAATCAATCTGAGATGTTCAGTGCACCCAGGAGTTGTTTGGTTGATGAAGTACTTTAATTTACTTTTTGCCACAGTAGCAGCATGGCTGCAGGGGTGGGTCAGTTGGGAGGATGTTAGCATGCTAATGTTAGCATTAAGCTCAAAGCACAGCTGAAGTACTGTTTGAAGGAGATCAAGAGATTTCCCATGCACTGGTTTATGAACAAATACCTGCAAAACTGACATTCCCATCCGCCTCAGCCGTACTTTGTGTTTAGTGAATGTTAGCATGCTAAGATGTTGAACATGAAGAACACAATACGTGCTTTACATCATCATCATTTCATTAATTGTGAGCATGTTAGCATGCTGATTTTAGCACTTAGTTCAAAGCACTGCTGTGCCTAAGTACAGCCTAATGGAGTTCATATTACTTGTTCACATTACTGAAACATAACAACATTTATTTTTCATTCACTCCTAGTGATATCTTGCCATGCAAGTAATTAATTTTTACAGGATTTTGAGAGATCCATTATTTCTGCCGTCAGCCAAAATAGAGGTGAATGTAATTTTGTTTGTGGTGCTCACAGCAATGCAAAAACGTCCTACAGCAACATCTCCAAAGACCTCACAGAGAATAATTTGTACTGGAACAATTTTTTAGTGAAGAAATAGTCCCAATGGAAACGGCTGACATCATATTCTCCATTGTCGCCACCTACGTTGCATCGGCATGGAGGCAGAAATTTCACAGATAGATATCTCAAAACCTGGGCCAGTAAAACATAATATATTTGCATGGCTAGATGTCACTAGGGTAAGTGATAAAAATGTGTTTTAAATAAACTCCACACTAGATGAGGTGAAGATGCACACATGACATTGTTCGATTTTGCCACCTAACAACAAACTAGCCTGTAATTGCAATGTTCATCAGATATCGTTGTTTTTAAACAGTGTTTTTTCAGGTGGATTTTCATTTTAACCATAAGCCCTTAAAGCCACATTTATCAAGAATCTCACAGGGAGTGGAACACTATAAAGTTTAAAGGGGGACTGGCAGGAACAGATACTGAGGACAACATTGGTTGACAGAAAGTGGGTAGAGAGGAAATACAGGGGGACAGATTATAACGTGACACTGTAAAGCACAGACCACAGGGGAGGAAGGAACACGTCAAAATAATCTGGGGATGCCTTCAGTCCCAGCACAACACAGATACCGACCCATAGAGAAAGCAAACCACGCTCCAGTGTCCCCATGCTTATATCCACGCACAGAGTCTGGTGATGGTATCCTCATCTTTTTTTTTCCTTTTTCAGCCTTGCCTGTGGTGGAGGGGGTGGGGGTTACATTGACCCAGTTTTATCACGGTGGAAGTCACTATCACTCTGATCACTTTTCTCTCACACACTGTAAACTGTAGGCTGGCTAGTGGCCTTTTCACTCACTCACAGTCATAGCTTCAGCAGACAGTAAGGGCCACAGAGAGAAGTGGAAAATACTAAAATAAAGAGCAGCAGTGAGACCTCTTGAAATTTCACTGACGTTGACATGATATTTCACAGCAAGAGTAAAATATAATGCACACCTCAGACTATAGTGAAGCATTATTCTGGAAACAGCGCCATTAGATTGTCTAGTTCTGGTGACAATAAAAATGGTATTTGTGGGCACATTGTCGGCATTGGGATTTAAATGGGAAAAAGTCATTTTTTTTTATGAAAAACTATTTTAAGAAATTAAAACTAAGACAGAAACTGTGTGGTGTTCATCTGTACTTTACTGCAAAAAGCCGAACTGCAATAATAAAAAAATTATATTGGGGTTTAATTAACTACATTTACTCAGGTACCATACATAAGTAAACGTAAATGAGGTAAAATTTTTCTGCTAATTTTTTCCATTAAATATATTTATAATGCACTTAATAATAAAGCAGTTACGTTAATGATAAAACCAATGGTTTCCAGCCTTTCTGGCTTGTGCCCCCTTACAATAATAACAGTGTCTGGTTGGGTTCACATGTCAAAATATAAATGCAACTATATACAGTCCACATCGGTGCATCAGTATTAACCATCTAATAATCTAATATATAATCTATATATAGTATAGTATAACAGTGTCAGTATTTTTTTCAGGTGATTATACACAAATGAAAACATACAATGAACATTATATTCCATTTTTGCCAAAAGAGGAAGGATTTTTTTGCAGGAATTTTACTTGTAAGTTGTAATTTTACATTATTGTTTTGATACTTTTATTTAAGTAAAGGGTTTGAGTACTTCCTCCACCACTGATCGTGTCAGTGTGGACTGGTATTAAACTTATGACAGAACCAGACAGATGCTGTTCAGTAATCAAATATCCTGTCATTTCTGTGCACTTGTTCTCAGGACCGGACAGACTGCTGCCAAAGGGCAGTTAGTGATGGGATTCACCTAAAAAACAGTTATATTGTGTGAGCACTACTGATTAGGAGGTTAATTGAAACTGTGTTTAATTAATTGTGTTTATGTGAAATCACTCCACTTGGTTGGTCCTAATTCCTCTGTCTTTCTAACACACTAATGGAGTCTGATAAAAGGATGAAAGCTGCGTGCTCTGCCAACATACAGTACATGCTGAGTGCTGTTGTGTGTGTTAGTCTTTCAAAAATGAGTCGCCTCAATCTGCTTCACTTGGACAGTTCCGACAGACAGTACAAAATGTACAAAGTGTGTAGATTTGTTTGAATGAGGAAACTGTTGCTTACATAATCAAAGAAACAGACTTGTTCTTTTCAGTTTGTGACAGTTTTTCATTATTGCCCCCTTGTTAATTGCTTCAATTGCCAGATCCCAGATCTGAAGTGGCAGCCAATCTGACAGCTCTGAAAAAAACACAACACAGAGCAGAGAGACAAAAAGAACATTGTTGACTAAGAAATAGTTAAGAAAGGAACTCTGCACGATTTGGTGGCAAAAACTGATGTCTTACCACAGCCATCATAAAATTAGACTATGGCCAGCTACAAACAAGCACAATAATAAACTCCTAAACCTATTTGTGTTGATGCTTAAATAGTAGCTCATCCCTTTGTAAGAATCACAGCTAAGTCCCAAGAGCATATCTCATATCACTACGTGAGATTGCATAATATATCTACAAGGCATGACTTCAGCTGACAGTAAAGTGTGAATAAGTTATGAGCCACTTTCAGAAGAACTTGAGGCAGAACAGCCACTGATACATCCTGTATGAAATTTTTGACAGTGTTAGCTACTTATGCTAGGATGAATAAACAAACGTCGCAGGGTGGATCAAGGAGCGGAGAGGCAAATATGCGCATGATTAGGTATGTATTAACATTTAAGGAATGTATGCAATGCAATCACGTCAGCTCCTTCAGAATTCGAACACATGAAAGTGTAACGAGTTTAAAGAAGAACTCAAACAGATTAAAAGAAATATATATACAGTATAGATATATAAAAAAGTGTGTCACTCAGTTCCTGTTAGTGAAAGCTGCATGAGCCTATGGGGGAGATCATGACGCCCTCCCTCGGCTCACTGCTACCCCACCAGCAGAATAAAGATAACAGTTTTACAGTCACAGGCATGAGCCAGAGAGAGGACAGCAGTGCACATACTAATGTCTTTCCAGATGATTTAACTCTTTCCAAAACACCTGAGCAAAACCTGCAGTACAATAAACAGTTACAATTTGCTTGCTTCGCACATTTGAACTGAGTAATATTTCACAAATTCAATCAAAGTTGGAATCATTTTATGTGCTGAGTACAATCAAACACAGCTTTTACTGATGTGCATGAAAGGAGGGGGGCGCACATAGGACAGGAGGAGAGTGCATGACTTCTAGCAGAGACTATAGAAAATATCACAGTTAAGGTTTAGGCACAGTGCGTCTCCAGCTGCAGAGTTGATGCAGCTAGTGCCTTAGGGGGACAAGCTGTTGAGGGGGCTGGTGTTTTGGGGAACAGATGGCTGTCTGGCTGTGCAAGATTGATGGCAATCTTTCCGTCCCTTTCTCTCTGCCCCGGCTCTCTGCAGCTCCTTCATCAAAAGGTACCTGACAGCCAAACACCCACGCAGCACAGTGGACAACACCAGAGCAAAAAGCAGGCAATAATGTGAGGATGTGCTGCTAAATTACTGGCTTGTAAAATTGCTTGAGAATCTCATCCTCTGCTGCATGAAAAATATTTTTTTCTATCACAGTAAAAAAAAAGGCTTTTCGAGATAGTGTATGGCAGGGAAATTAGTCATCTGAGTCACTTGTTACCAGAGGCTGATGAGCAGGCCGTTTCTGTCAAAGGACAATCCACATCTCCACATTTTCGCTCGTGTTTAGCTCTGAGTTGGCCCAAAATGACAGGAGGCGGTCCACTTCTCTCTTTATATGGTCATCCTCACACATAACCAAACTGACAGATGGACAGCAAGAGCTATGGGCACTGGGCACAAAGGAGAAAGGCACTAGGATGTTCACAATAATATACCTAACAGCACTGAGGGTCAAACAGTTGGTGTCACGGATCCTGCAGGAGGTTCGGGGTGGAGCTGCTCGTGTGACTGAACATCGATGAGCAGATTTTTACATTACTAGATGGGCTAAATGTGGAAGTCTCCTCTGGTTTGCTGTCATACCAACGACAAGACTCCAGGAAGTCACTGCTACTGGGCAGGAAAAAGTCAAGCTCAAAACCCCCCTAAAAGTGCAGCTTGCTGTTCTGGTTCTTGCCTGGAAACACATTTTTAATGAATGAGTTTTTTTTTTTACCTTTGGACAGAGGCATGCTAGCTGTTTCCTCCTGCTTCCACATAGATATATATACTGACTAGATGTCGCCTTGACTACTGCTGTTCATTGGAACGAATGCATCAATAGAGACGCCATCTTGCAGCGGGGATCCACCCCCCTTTAATGCATTAGCGTCAATCTAGGCAAAGATCTAACGAAAATAAAATCACCATAAATCGTCAAAATCTCGAACGATTTTTTTGTTTTTTGGTTTGTTCCAGCTGACAGACATGTATTTATGATCAAGTCCAGAGAAAATTTAAGCTTTTGCTATTAATATAATCTACTTCAAAATGTAATGCCTAGTACTAGTAGGCGTAGGTTTATTATTTTTCCACTTAATAGTATGTGTATTTGCTTTTACACCTGTATTGTACTCATATCTAATGACAATCACAAAAAAATCCGACCTAAAGGCTCCATAGCTCAATATTTCATGCAGTACCTTTTTGACGGTCGTGCTTTTATTTTGAAAACGTCACCGAACCAACCATAGATATACATACTGAAACATGAGACTGAAACAATATAATTTCATCACCAGAAATATACTTTCGTAACATTCAATATCATAAAACACATTATCACCTGTGAAATGTTATCCCTTGCTGTTTGTTTTTTTCATTTCTTTTGTTCGAACATCCATAAGCAGCACAAAAGTCCGGCATCTTTAGAGCTGATCTGAATGCGGGAAAACTAATTTTGCGCTTCAGATCCCTGCTCCAAGGTGGCAGCAGGTTTTGACGTATGCTTAGAAGCCCAAGGCGACATCTAGTCAGTATATATATCTATGATGCTTCCAGTTTTCATGCTAAGCTAAGCTAAGTGGCTACTGGCTGTAGCTTCATGCTTATCTGACCGGCATAAAAGTGGTATCGATATTCTTATATAACTAGTGGCTAATAAACATACTGTCCCAAAAACTGAACTATTCCTTTAAAATTTAAATAAGATTAAAAAACATTGACGAATTTTAACACTTGTTGTGTTGTGGACATTAATGCCTGCTGACCAAACTCTCCCTTTCTCTTTTAGCAAAAAAAGAACAACAGTAATAAGCAACAATGCAATAGGTTGGTAAAAAGCCTTTTGGGTGAAGACAGAGGGAGTCTTTTGTCCATCACTGTGAGGCTGGAAGCTTGGGATCACTCTGTGCCTTATATAGTCTTACTGATCGATTAATTCCACTTTCAGACCTGAGTGCAGTTTTGCAATCCAATGCACAAATACAATTCTAGACGGTTTCTACTCTGTCTCTGTTTATTGTGTGAAAGTGCTGCCTGCCTGCAAATAGCAGGCAAGATGAAAAATAACCTGTGTGAGCTGTCTTGAGTCAATTTTCAACTAAACCCGACCACTTGATTGACAAAAGGGAACTAAAAGGAAAATGAATGCTCCCTTTGTGTTTTCATATCTTCAGGGATGTACAGGGATCGTCCACTATCAGACTTCCAGATTTAGTGCCAAGATATAAGACAGAATTGAACATATTATTGTACATTATGATGGGAGAAAAAGAGCCTTTAGCTATAAGCAAATGTTGTTCTCAGAATGAAAAGGAAGCCTTTCCTTTGCCTGCACAGATGTTGATATCAGGGAAGCAGATAGTTCACAAATCAGCAGGGAAGCAGACGATTATCAAGCTTATCGGGGTTTAAACACTCAAGCATGATTTGGCATCCGATTGTACCAAGCCAGATATCAGAAAACAGACTCTCTGATGTATTACTAAACACCGAAAATACATTTGCCTGTTCACCAAAGCTCTGTGGGTGGCATTCAGTTTAGAATCAAATTGAGGTTAAAGTCTGCCTCTAAGAAATACAAATGCTCTGCACGGTATGTCAGTGTGCGTTGACACTGGTGTTACAGCAGCATGTAGAGTCTCCCCTTTAACACCCACCAAGGTGGAAGTGTTAATTGTGACTGCAGCAGCCTGAATGGCTTTCGAATTGTAGCTGGGGAAAGCCGCAGAGAGTGATTCGTCTACTGCCTATTGCATATATGATATGAATGATAATGACTACTAAAGCATGCTGTACAGATGGCTGCTGGCCAAATTGGGCGAAAATCACTTTTTCCAACAGCAAGAGTATAGTAGGCAGCACACACATGTCAGTGTGAGTCATTGTGTGATTAGCGTTATTTATATACAGATTCAATAATGAATCAGTTGTATTTACACTGTAGCTCTCAAATGATTGTGGTCACACAATGGAAGACCATTTAAACCCTCAGGTTATTTAAAATAGTACAAAAGATGCTGTATTATTAAGATCAGAAGCATGTACTTTATGTTTAAATATGAGGGGTTTTATAATAACTTAAAGGAACGTCTAAAAATAGATTAGAAATTATTTGAAGGTGGCCTCTCCTACAAATAAAGTCAAATCAATGTTAAATTACCCTACCGAGTGAAGTAGGACAACAGGAAATGAAGGACTAAGAGGCTAAATCTGGGTTGTAACAGAGAATGTGGACTTTATGACTCACGCTCTAATCGGGCTTACGTTACACATCTAATGATGTAACATTAACTTGGGACAAAGGAAAATGACTTCCCACTGTCTGTGATGACTTGGTTGTGACTCAGTGGGTTTTGTCAACAAAGCCATGATAATAGTACAATAATGACACACAAGGATGAGCCTTGTGTTGATTAGTAAGCATTATTAAATTTAATAAAATACTGTTTGATTCCAAATCATAACCCTGCATTCATCCTAAATGACATGGAAAGACACATTTTCATGTTTACTGCTAATCTGTGTTTGCTGCATTTGTTTTTCTGTGTAATCTGCTTTGTTTCACTGTCTCATCAGAGCTCACACCACTACAGGCTACTGAGGGGAAGTCAAAATAATTACATCACCTAATCTCCACAGTCAGCGGACAGAAAGTGATGGAAGCAACTGCACAAACTGGCCAATCAGAGGGCAGCGTGATGGGGAACATTCAGCCATTTATTCTTTCCCTCCACTATTCAGTCAAACTGATCTAACACTGTGTCAGATATCTGAATTATCATAGTCCCACACATCCAAGGTAGTAGTTGTTATTTTATAGGAGAAACATGGGACTGGTGGCACTTTGGCTGCAGGGCAATATTTTTTCTGGGTGGCCCAGAATTCCTGGCTATGCCCCAATTTACACATATTGAAAAATCAAATATTTTAATCAACAAGCAAACCAATGCTAATCAGTTAAAGCCCTTCTATTAATGATCATAAAAAGAGCTATGCCAGCACAATGCAATGGCACACTGCAAGGTTAAAAAATAACCTCCAATTTAATAAGATATCAAATAATGACTCTCCTGAAATAGAAAACTAATTATAGAAACTGAGAAAAGGAGCTTGGAGAAAGGTGTTTGGTTGGGATTTGAGCCCTCCGTCACTTAAAGATAAGAAGAACAGTAATATGCTTTGAATATATTTTAAACTCTTTGAAGAATTATATCTTTAAAAAGCACACTTTCAGGGTTAGCGATTGAAATTGTAATCAGCTGACACTGGAAATCAGACTACCACCAAAAAGTAGTCTGATGCTCCAGTCTACATGAGCTAATGTGAGCTGTAACTTTCTGACATACTGAATCTCCCAAACAAACAGAATATAGACAGGCGTGAAAAACAATCATCCTGATTAATTGGAGGAGGCACCAACTGAACACACCTGGTCTAATATTACACACTGGAAGCCTCTATGTTGTATCTGGCAGTATTTGATCGATGTTTGTTATTTTGATCCGAAGCGGGGTAGAAGTTACTGCTTGCTAAGACCTCAGATACACAGGACTTCCAATGAGTCCCCAAACCATTTTGTCTCCTGCAGAAAAATAACACCCAACAGTCTGACACTATTTTATTCGACAGGGGGTTGCTCAACTTGAAAAAAAAAATCAACAGCAACATCTGTTAGCTGCAGCGTGGAAACAACAGTCTGTTTGTATTCCCCCTGTGGAATTTATGCCAGACTATCTCCTTATCCTTGAAGAAAACCTCAAACAAGAAAGTGAAAGAGTGTGCATGGAAACAACAACACAAGATCCCCCGCAGGCTGTAGGCCTGCAGCATCAACATTTAGAATTCAGGACGCTTAATGAAACTATCATTATTAATGGTGGAGTGTCCAGTCTTGTCTGGAGCCACCGACTGCCAGAGCTCTGCTATGAAAGAAACCCTAACGATACATTTTATTATCTAGTTTCATACTTTAACATTGAATTTCATCTTGGGAGGCCTGTACATTACTACTCACTTAACACAGTGTATTGGCCTGTGTTAACCCTGTTTTCCTTTAACTAACCTTTGTGTCACAGACAAAAGAGAATTGTGGACCAACTTAAAACAAAAGTACATTAATTTTACATTACAATTTACATTTTTATATGACAGGCAACATTTTATTTAAATTCTTTTAATGGGTAAAAGTATGAGATAAAATTATATTAAATTAGTTATAAAGTGTCCTATATTCATATTCACATTCACACTGCATTAAATCACGTACCCCGTTTCAACTAAACATAGAGTGCTAGTTCTGGTGCTGATTCAGTGTTGGTTCAGTGTTGGTTCAGTGTTGGTTCAACCAGTAGAGCCATCGAGTCACGTCATTACGTCACTGTACACATCAACAGTGTTAGCTATTGTTACCAAGGTTGTGCTAGCTCTTAAGTACCGCAGCACTTCACTTCTCTTGTGAAGTCCACAGATAATTCATTCTATGTGCATTCAGACTCATAAGAGACTATCCCAGCATGCACTGGGTTAAAGGCAGGAAAACAGGATATGTCATCGCACAGCTAACACATAAACAAACATCTGTATGCTGTTTAGAGTCTCGCCACCTGACCTTTGGCTGAGAAGAAAAAAGCATTTTCAGATTTTATTTCATAAATATTTAGTAAATATTTTTAAGGGTTCATGGTCTTCCTGAGCAATCCCCTTGTTGTGTTTTTTAAATGTTATCTTTGCAGTCATGGAGAAAGTAAGATCTGAGAATACACTGAATCTTCCCTTAGACATTCAAAGTCAATTTAATTATTGTTCCACTGAAACATTACACCATCACCGGTAATGGCTGCCCATGATTTTATTTTATGTAGGGGAAGAATTGATTAAAGCACTGAGTCTCTCTACAGTCTCTATAGTTCAGACCAGGAAACCAAAATATGAACTAAAAGCAGTCTCAGTTGGATAGCCACTAGAGAACCTGTCATGTTACAGAGCCTCATTAGCATTGGAAATATAGCTTAATGCAGATTTAGGTTTTAAATTGCTTTGTATGTGTCCTTTCTGCAAATGCACTGCAGGGATTCGTCTGTGTGTCTTGCTGGTGAAGTTAGTGCCTCTACATGAACAACCTACCCCACTACCACCGTTAATGTTTAATCAAATAAATGAGTAAGCTTTAACCTTAAATACACAGATTGTTTTTATTTCCAAATGAAGCTCACAAATAGCTCTGATGACCATTCAGTATGTGTGTGTCTGCTTCCCTGTCTGCTTTTACTTACACTTCCTTTTGTTTCTGCTGGATTTGTGCACGACTGACACTGTTGACAGAGGCTAGACGCTTCACTGTGAAACATCTATTTAGAATATGCACAGTGTGCTCACATGCTGCACATCTCTCCTCGATCAGCTCTTTGTTGTATCTCCTCAGCAGCAGCCAACCAGATATTAATATGTTCATTCCTTCCTCTGCATTGTTGTTTAAAGGGCTGTTCTGCAGGCCAGCCATGGAAAATCTATTAGTTTCTGTTTACACAATCGCTAGATGGCGCACTGCCTAATTTCTCTGTATTTTTAATCGCATCTTCGTTGCACATTCTTTGAACCTTTACCATGATGAGAAGTGAAGCTGATGTGGGCGACAGGGCCCGAGCCAGCAGGCCTGCACCTTCACTCACTCACTCTGATCAAGTGTGGACGCGTACAATTAGTGTCCATTTTTTATTGTACACATGGCTGCAGTGATTTATCTCCATGAATAATACACACCGCCGCTTCTTATGCCAAACAATCAGAATTGCTTACCTCCTCTGGGCAGCTGTGGATAACACGAGGACGCGCTGCTTTATTATGTGCCATCAGTTTGACTGTAAATTCAAAATACACGGGAAGCATAAAGACATTCAGGAGGAGGTCGTTCTCTGCTGTAGCCTGACCTGACCAACACGTAGTGCTGTGACAGCCGCTGTACTAAAGCACAGTCTGCTGATGGGGGACACACAGCTAAGCGACAGGCCGAGCGGTCCGACCACCACAATAAGTAACGCTGCTAAAAACAAACATCACTTACATCAACAGTGGCGGTCCTGTGGTGTGTTCATCATTTATGTGCAGCGGGAGGAGAAATCCTCATGTCTGTGGTGGCCCGGGCAGCACGAGCCGATGCGTTGGTATGATCCAGATGTGTAACACCTTTCCTGCCTGCTCGTTTCTTCATGTATTTAAAAAAACAACAAAAAAACAACAACAACCAAGAAAATAAAAAAGAGAGCTGGTCTGACTGGAGGCTGGACAGTCGGAGTTTAAGATAAACAGATAAATAAATAAATGTCATCGGGAGTGCTTGGCTAACTCAGCTGGCGGCACGTCCACGCGTGTGTCACTCTGAGCCGCGATGCGTGTGTGAGGAGACACTGACGGGGAGGTGGGCTCTATTGTCTCCACTGTGGATGACATCATCCCAGACCAATGGCGAAACGCACGAGATGAAGGGGCTCAGGAGCGAGCACGCAGCACGTGCGGGCTGCTGGAGGAGGAAGAGGGGGGGGGCAGTGAAAAGCTCCTAAAGATCAGCTCACTATTAAGCGCCAGCTGTGGAGTGGAGTACATTTACTCGAGTATTGTACATGATATTGTTGTGATCTGAGGTACTTGAGTATTCCCAATACTATATATATATAATAATAATATGCTGCTTTATTAAAGGAAATGTTGTTTTTGTTATTCTCCATTTATTTAACAGCTATAGCTACCTGACAGTTGAGAAGATTTTATATATAAAACATATGAGCTCATAACATACAGTGTTAGTAATAGTTCACAGCTTCTCCGCTTAAAACCAGCTACAATAGTGAAATGCTATGCTTGCACAATTATGCATATAATAATAACATATTTATAATATACTGTATAGGCTTATAGCATAGACTATAATACTCACAGGGGCCATTTTTATGCATTATGAGTACTCTTACTGTTGATACTTTGAGTACATTTAGCTAATAATACTTCAGCTTTAACTTGTAAGGAAGTTTTTTATACTGCAGTATTGGTACTATCACTTAATTAAAGGATTACTATAATAATATATGTAACACATGACAGAAACATGAAAGAAATAATTCGTTTTTATTAAACTGTAGGTTTTTACATCAAAGCTGATGGATACTGTTTCTCAAGTTAACTTTTTATGTGAAAAAGAAACCATATTATCGTCACTGTCTTGTTCTTGTTCTTGTTGTTGTTGTTTACATTCCCCCAGACCCAAATTTAAAATATGCACTGCAGAATTATTTCCTTGTGACCTCACCTTGTATTGTATGATGGTAAATACAGTTCCTTGATTCATCTTTGGAAGAAGAAGTATTCCAATTCTATACTTAAGTAAAGATAGTAATACCACTGTTAGTATAATAATATTCAACAGTAAAAGTTAGACTTTTTCATTGCTGTGCTCTTTTTTAATGGATGCATTTTTGGTCCAGTATGTAGGATTTAGTGCTGTAGTTGCAGATTCCGAGCACGAAGGACAAAAAAAAAAAAAAATCCCATAACAATTCTTATTTTCTGGTGATTATACACGAATGAAAACATATCTATGATTATCATATTCCTTTCCTGCTGATAGATTCTTCTCAATGTTAATTCCATTTTCCTAAATGATAAAGATGATATACCTATAATGTGCCTATTATATTATTTTCCTGATAAAAAATGAAATACCTTCAAAACGTACATGTTTGATCCGTTTTGTCACACTTGCTCTGTCTTTAATTTGATTTTCCATTAAAAGTATTCTCAAATAGGCACACGCACACTGAAACCATTATTTGTATCAGTAAGTTATTTCTGGCTGTCTTAGAAGAATCCACTTTTCTCTCTTCATGAGGAGAGGAGATGATTGATAGGGATGTCTTTCTGACCAGGAAATGATCTTCTCATTGTGTGAGTAGAACGAAGTCACAGTTCCAGACTAATTTTAGCAGTTAAAGACATTTTAGCTGTCATGGCTGCTGAGAAAGGCAGCAGGCAGAGACATTCAGCCTGGGTATGTTTTTCACATAAATCATTTGTGCATTTATCTCTTATGGCCTTTTTTTTTGCTGCTTTTTGAGCCTCAGCTACAAAGCCTGTTGGCCTGCAGTCTTTACTCTGTCCCACTACCATCCCATTTCACCAAATAATTTTTCAGCCCCTATTTAAAAGCTCTATAAAAGAATCCTAGATGCTGTTTTAGTTCGACAAAGACATCACCGACTGTTGCCAAACAACAACTTGGCACAAACCGTATGCTAACCAGCCGGCCCTTTGATGGTCTTAAAGCCTTGGAAAAAAGCCCTGGCTGAGAGTCTTTCAAGTCGGCCCCCCATGCAAACCTCTGCATTGACATCTCTGATCACCCAAGCTTTCTCATGATTGGAGGAATTAAAAGTGAACAACGGTATGACATTACCCGCTCCCCCTTGTTATAGCTATGTTTGAGCTGTCCTTTGCTACTATAACCTCTGAAATGTGTCTCACATCAGCCTCCACACTGAGAATGTATTGCTACTGCTACAAATACTACTACTTCTTGACACATTGGTCCACTTGTCTCTGCCTGCCAACACTGGAGACACTTCACCCACCAGCTTCAATTCAGGCCCATTCACAGCTGTGACTGTAATGTGTAAAGAAAAGTCTCAGATTCCCGAATTAAAAGCATGGGCCAGACAGCAGTTCACATCCCAGTGAATGAGTTAGGAATAAGCTTGCACCTGCTGTATTTGGTAATGTAATGATGTGTAAATCTGCTAATATGAATTATCACATTTGACACCTGTGCTGTAAATTAGATAATGTGTGTGTATGTTTCACATTTCTTCACTGAAAACATCTGGAAACCTCTTAATGTGTCACAATTAAACACTGCAGCAATAATGACCGTGAGGAATGATTGTGTAATTATGATTACACAAAGAGCTTGTATCCTTAATATATGTAATCTTTATAACCCATTCTCCATTGCTGAAATAATTTAACATCCCCCCAAGAATTTTATCTCATCCTGATGTGTCTTGTAGAGCGGAGGTTTCATTATGAGTGGTTCATACTGGCAGAGTTCTCCTTCATCTCAGAGCAGAACACATGGAAGACAGTGTTGAATTTCAATGTCCTTCTCTAAGCCTCTTTATATTTGATTAGGAGGTTACCTCACGATCTCTGGCCAAAGTTCTGTTGATTCATCTGGTCCCAGGAGGTGTAAGTGACACCTCCCTAAGCCTGTTGAAGTAGCAAAACAGATCCAGTATTCATGCTTTTTGAGCATGATCTGCGCTGAATATTTAGCAAATATATGAAGGAAACAGTAAATGGAAAATATAAAATATGTGCTAGAGTTAGTCGGTAAGAGATAATATCCTCAGCAGAAAAAGGATTTCATTGTTCATTTGTTCAGCTGCTTACTACTGTTTCTTGACCACCTCCTTCGTGTGTTTGTCATTAGCACAAGGCCAGTGGGGATGATGAGTGTATTTGTAACTTGTGAAATCATGATGGTCTTTCTCTAACCAAAAAGGATCATTTTTCAGGGTGATGCACTTTTTTGCTTTCTTGCCGACAGTGAGATGAGAAGATTGATGGCCCGATAAGCTACTGCTTGCAGCTGGTTAACTAAACTTAGCACAAACACTTTTGCTGGCAGAGCATCCTTGATCATATCCCCACTACTGGTAGTAGCACTTGGTATCTATGTGGACGGGGAATCAACTCTTATTAATCATTTATCCATTTAAGTGCAGCAACCGGTATGAGTGCCTGCTTCTCTATATCATATCTATATCATGATATCAGCAAGTGTAATTTACACGAGGGAGCTTACAACAGTAACTTACCTGTAACTATTTTTTCCTAGTGTAATTATTTTGCTGCAGACTAGAGGCAATTAAGTGAATGTATTTTTGGATATTCAACTGGGGTATTCAGACTATTTACTATAACTGCATTTCAGCATGTTATCAGACTAACAGTTTGACTTTGAAAATGCAAAGCATTTAATTTTTTATTTTCAGTTCTTTATTTATTTACAGTTTTATTTTCACATACCCCCTACGTCAGTTTGTGTATCCCCAGAACACAATTTGGGAATAGTGGCACTAACCCAGCAAACAGCTCCCATTAAGCTAAACTAACAAGCTGCTTGCTGTAGCTTTATTGCACAGAGTGATATTGATCTTCTTACATAATCAACAATGCGAATAAGCATGTTTTCCGAAAATGAAAACGTTTTAGTTGCCCAATCTTAAAATTTGAAAATAAGTCCAATATTCACTCTCCTTTTAGTCCTCCTCTAACTCCTGAGGGAAATATCTGTCTCTTTAGCTGCTATATTTGCTAACTTTGTCTGTCATTTGCTGTTGGGTAGCTTACAGTGGGCTAATCAGAGCTTATTCACTGAAAACAGCTATACTGCTGGAAAAAAAAAAAAAAAAAAAACACTGATGAGAGTGATCTAAAACAGTAGAGCTAAAAGATGCTAAAAAAAAAAAGATCTGTAGAGCAGAGGGGAACTGCAGTCTGGAGATAATTGTCTGTGGTTTCACTACAAAGAGATGTACTTTAACCAAACTGGCCACCATCAGGAGTGGCAGGTCAGAACGCTGCATTTGTAGCTGACCTTGAAAAAGCAAAAATCAAAAATAGGACTAAGGATCAATTAAGTATCACATTTTTTTTTTTTTTACCAGTTTTTTATCGACCATTTTCTCTACCTGCTTATTTCTTCTCAGGGGTCTGGAGCATATCCCAGCATGCTCCTGGCAGCAAGTATGAAACCAATCCAGCCTCAGCATGTGGATGCATATTAAGTCCATGGCTCATTTCCCGTTTAATACAGCGAAATGGTAGAGCTGGGAAATATGGGTGACAAGTAATAATCCAATATTTCTAAGCCTTTATTGAAATAAATGGTTTTACAAAGAGATCTTTGTAAACAGAACAATAATTTAGACTAGCTGGCCTTTATCAAATACCATTAGATGTGAACAGGCCAGTACAAACACTCCTTTCACTTGAGATTATTAAGCACAGTGGGAAAAGATTATCATGAAAATCATCAAAATAATCTGGTTCTGGCTAAATGTCTGTACGGCACTGCAGTGCACTGTTGTGGACATGGTGCTGGTCTATGTTTTAGTTGTTTTGTGAGACTATTAGTTTCTGAAGACTGACGCAAAAGAAAGAAAATCTACTGGACAAAAAGTTGTGTTCTGAACAGTGTTCAGTCCTCAGACCTTCATCACATACAGCAGGAGTGACCCTTAATACAAACCCTGACAGAGCGTTCACAATGTGTGGGACTCTGTTCTTCTGTTGTCAAAGAATCCATGAAAGGAAAAAGCATGCTTGAGCAAAGCACAAAGCA